AAGAGGTCATCTGAGTCTTGCAGTTTTGTCATCTCTTTCTGTGAGTTTATGAGTTTTCACTGCATGAGGCAAATGAGGAGAGTAGTTAATTTATCCTCGAAGACATATGACAAATAGAGGAGGTGACATATCTATATGAGAGAACAGCATGCAGGCAAATGAACAGAGTAATTGGATGAAGTTGGTGCAGGACTGAGGAGACGCCACTGCCAGATGGGTACAGTCTGCCATTGAATATGAGAGAAAGCGATAGGAAAACGGGCAGTGTTTGAATCAGCACAGTCCACTTATTTGATATGTCTACATAAATGAAATATGTGCTTTCGTTTCTGTCTCAATGACTACATAAGCCTCTGTAAATGAATATGTATTAAAACACATTATCCAGCTTTAAGTTGTATTTCAATTAGAATGTACTCTGCCGCATCCCATGGTAATTCTGCTTCAAGTAGTTTGTGGGGTTTACGAGTTGGATTTAATTTTATTGTAAGATGTATCTACGATTTTTCTCTCCTCCCCATGTCCATGCTTGGAGAAAACTGGAATGTGCTCAGATTACTGAACAGAAAAAGTGCCAGGATGCCCACAGAGACATACAAAAGCACAACGCAACACACCACAGGGGGCATTTTCATCCATGACAGCGGCTGTTTACAAGAGCAACCGCAAGAATTCAAGGATCGCACATTGGCCATTAGCTGTTTTCACTCAATTCTAACCCTTTTCTTTTCAATTCTCTCTTTTGAAAACTGTATTTGTTTTATCTCCAGCATTTCTGGGAAAAAGTTTTTTCCCAACTCACTTCTCTGTCATTCTCCCCATATCATCCATCATCATATTCTGTCCTTATCTTGCCTCATAACCCCCCCCCCCCCTCCCCTCCAATCCATTTTCTGTCATCATCTTTCTTTGGCAACAGGGGAGGGCTCCATGTGTGGAGATATACAGATCTCCTGTTTTTGGAGGCTGAGTTTGCACAGACAGACACTGGGTAAATGTGATCAAGGGATGATGTAGCACTGCAAAATGGCAAAGAGACAGGCAAGAAGAGAAGGGAAGCACTACAACAACTCTGAATTTAAGTTTTATGCATGACTGTGTTTTAACAGGCAAGGATAAATGCACGATCATATGTTCTCATGAGGCATAGACAGGAAGAGGAAGACAGCAGAATGTGTTTACAAGAAAGAAAATAGTAACAAGATGGACTGAAGAAAAGAGACCATGAACGAGGTACCAGAAAGGGAAGCGATAGACCTGGTGAGTAATGTGTACACACTCGAGCAGTCTGGCGAATGTGCTGAACTCAGGCTAATGGCTGACATAAAAACCCAGAAAAGAGGCAGAATCGATGCTATCTGTAAGAGCCCAGGATGAGACCGGTGTGAGGGAGAGGACACAATGATCTCCCTCTAAAGGCTGATTACATCTGTTGAAACAGCACACTGATATTTACATGGAAACCCGACAGAGGCCCGGCAGTGGGCCCTGTATACGCTGGCCAGTCCTGCTGCTTCCTGGTGTGTGTGTGTGTGTGTATATGTCTTCTCTCAGATCTGGCTGTACTCTGCTCTTTTTGTCATTAATGTCTTCATAAAACCGTACCCTTGAGCGTGGTGGGTGTTCTGTTGTTCTTGTGCATGTCAATGCCACAGTATGAAAATGATAAAAATGACAAGATCCTCCATTGCACAATTTTCATATGGTTACTTAAGCTGACCTGAGATTGCCTCTATATGTGCGTGTGTTTGTATACATTAAATGTTGTAAATAGGTCTGTGAACACATGCAAAATCCTCGAATGTCAAATTTCCATAAAGGACACCTGAATTACATTATAAAAGCTTCGTCTGTCACCTCTGTGTGTTAGCATCTGCTTTTGTCTCTAGTTTGACAGCAGTGATTTGATGCAATCAGTGATTAATCAGCAAGTGCTACATTTAGGTGTGGCAATCCTGTGTGTTATGAATATTTTCACCTGTTGAGTATTGTACTGCTTACTGTTGATGAGTAAAATGACCTCCTGATGCTTTCATAGTACAGCAACACAATAATCAATATGCTTAATTGTTCCTCTTATGCAGAATCGGTTAAATAAATCATCCTGTAAATACTGTAAATTAGTCAAATTGAAGGTGAAGGAGATGTGGTACTTCATTTTTAAGATGCTTTGGGACCCAGTGTTTCCCCTTACCCTTCTCTTCATCCATGTGTTTAGACAGTGATGATTTGTTATTTGTAAAACACAGGGCAGAACCTAGAACCAAGACGGTACAGGTTCTTATACGTTCAGTTTATGGGAAGCTCCAGGTTACAGGTCTTCAAGTTCATGTAGTGGATAACAGCTGGGTGCATATTAAACATACAGATTTCAGTGTGCAGCACATTTAGAGAGAAAGGCCTGTGTTATATTAACATTTTCTTCCATCTATCTACTTAGGAACTAAGTGTGAGTGTTTTTGCCTGAAAGGAGTGGAAAAACATCTGTAGTATTTCTGTACAGAAGCAATGTAATTTTCACTAGAAAACTTCATCACGCCCTGAAAATGCTCACCACATAATTACTGCATGTGTACACTAAACTGACAGTTGCTTAGTTGTACGGTCTCTCACCCCATTCTCCCCCATCTCTTTGCTACCATTCTGCCTCCCCTATTTTGTGCTCCCTGGTCTCCTGAACTTCCCCTAGCATCCTGCTCCTCATTAGAAGGCCTTTCATGGTCAAAGCCAATAAAACTTCAATGGGAGGCAGCTTGAAGAAAACATGGCTCTTCTGTGGCTTTACTGAGCGTTAATTACATGATCCCTGCACCAGACAGTGGAGGGCCAATCAGTTTCTCCAACAGCCCTGCCGACCTATGGCCACATGTGGGACACAGTCAGACACATAAAATCACATTACACACAGACTGCCTCTGACACACAGAAGAAGTGCGCACAGACACACACGCATTAAGGTCATACATAAACAAAACCATATAATACTGACAGACATATCAAACACACACACACTTTGCTGCCACTAGACTTATTAACCTCTGGCCACATGTGCTTTACTTTGCTCTCACAGCAACAAGAAAAGTGAAGAAACAGCATTATACATAATTAGAAAGTGATGTCTGTCTGCTGTGTGGCACAATTACACAATTTTCAACTTTTAGCAGAGTAACTGCAATGGTGTAGTGCCAGATTTGCCCATGCACAGGTGCAAATGAGTGAGACACTTGACATTGCAGAACGGAGGTGTAAATCATGCCTGCTCATTTCAGAGCTGCAATAATGGGAAGTGAGTGTAGCCATTTGTTAGTAAGTGATATGTGAAACGCTGTCCTCTTTGTTTGGACTCATGCAGCCACAAGGAACAGACTAATTATAGAGTAACATTTCCTGATTTATTCATAAACAATGTCTGCCTTCGTAAATATAATGACTGGGAGGCACATGGCTCTCTCCTTCTCTCTGTCTATTCTTGTTTCTTCCTTTGCTTCTCAGTGTTTGTCAATCTGACGTGCGACGGCTAGTTATTTCAGGCTGCACTGGAGTTTTTCCATGTGTCACTGTGATAATGCGTGGTGGCATCTCCTTCCGCAAACAATCCTTAAAAAGCGTCTCCCACAGGAGTGACACCATCAAACGCCGTCTGATTCAATTTCACACAAGATAACTAAAGAGACATTATTATTATTTTTATGTATGTGAGAGAGCTATATGTCTGTTTACTGCTGTAACACAACACAGTATATAAGGTTTACTTCCCAGGAACGCTACACATCGGCTGAATCTTTTGTGGGTTTGTAATGCCACATGAAACATGTGAGGTAATTTCATGTTTTTACCTGAATTTATGATTATATATGCTCATATCCATGTCTAGGGGACACATGAGCCTTACACTTGAAACCAGTGCAATACTCAAAGGGTCATCAGCTAGCTAGCACAAGACCATTGAACTCAATTGTTGCTTCATAGGAAGAGGGCTCTGGGTTTGCACCAACCTGAGTGAACTTTTTCCTCTCACATACACCCTTCTAAACATTAGTTATGGACTTATTGTTGCCATTCGCCATGACAAGGCACTGGCTTGCTGGATCTGGAGCTGGGAGGAGCAACTGATTAGAAGTAATGAATAAAGTGAACAATTAAAAGTGTGTATGAAATGTACCCTGGTTTCTAAACAAAGCAGTTCCTTTAGAGACATTAGAAGAAATGGCTTTCACCAAGCAAAGCCAATTAGATAAGCAGCCTTCATACAGGAAAAGATTGGCTACTTGGACAGTAAAGAAAACAAAACAAAAAAGGGGAATTAATGTAAGACAACACAAGTAGGTGAGCATAGTTCTTGTTTCTCATCCCTTATTGTCGGTGCTTGCTCAAGCCTGAAATTATTCAGGAACATTTCACACTTGAGATACTAACCAACACATACAGGAACAGAAACTCACATAATGAATGCATTCGGCAGGTGACAGGTAAACTGGCAACTCCTCTGGGCAGGTAGCGACTTGTTTAATTGCACATCGACGTGCGATGTGCAGCATGTATGCAGAGACACTCTACAGAGTGGAGAAGAGTACTCAGCGTTGGCCTGCATCGGTGGGTGGGTACCTAGGGTCGAGGGCACGCCCACAGTTCACCGGTGACACCTGGCTGGAGGAGCTCAAGCTGTCAGGACGCGTACAGCACATTCTTTCACAGCGATCCAGACCCCGTTATAACACACTAAGGACCACATAAACATTTATACTGATGAAAAGATGATTTCAAAACTAATGCCGGGAATCAACACTGTTAGAAAGTAGCTGATGCTATTCTGAAGCATGTCTAAAAATACCTGTTTAGATGATAATAAAAAGGGAATAGCAGAGGGGAAAGAAAGAAAGAGAGAGAGAGAGAGAGTGCCTACTCTACTCTCTCTCTCTCTCTCTCTCTCTCTCTCTCTCTCTTTCTTTCTTTCTCTCTCCCCCGCCTCCTCCTCATTCCACAAAGTGGCAGCGCTGGCATAGAATCGTTCAGAAAACCCTAAGCTGCAGCTGCCTGTGCGCACCTCTTAACTCAGATCCCCCCGGGCCGTCATAGCCGGTAGGCGTGCGGCAACAGAACCTGGCTGCACAGCGTCAGCGCAATTCAGTGCTATTTCTGACACGACTTTCAGTTATTTCAGCTGTACATGCGAAACCTAATTCTTTCATCTCTTGCCTCTCCCGCTCTATGTGAGCCAAAGCAGTGGATATAGGAGACAGGAGATTTGCACACATCCTGGGCACAGCGAGAGCAGATACAAGTATTTTTTTCTGTGGGGGGGAAACAATACAGCTCCTGTCCTGTTTTCGCATCGGCCCTACGTTTGGAGTGGAAAGATACGGGACCTCTGTGCTGTGAAGAGTCGCTCCTGTGCCGTGCAGCAGTGCGCGGAGAGCAGCCACAGACGCACCAAAAGGGCAGGAGGGATAAAGGAAGGTGGAGGATATTTTACGCACAGCAGCACTCAGTAGCCCTGTTTGACACGCGGCCACTTACTGGGAGTCTACTGCTCCGTTAAGGACTCAGCGCAGTCGCTTCGCCTCTTGGTCGGATTTGCACTTGACTAAGTCCACGAACAGCAGTCGGCCGGGATGGATTCCTTCATCATAGCGGCTCTAGCTGTGTGCTCTCTTACGGCACCAGCCTATGGTGACAAAGGGACCAGCAAAGCCCGGAGTTGTTCGGATATCAAGGTGTTTTATAGCGGTAAAGGATTCACTTTGGATGGTGTCCCTCAGTCTGAAATATCAGGTAAGCCACAATTTAAAATAAAACCTGGCCAAACGTCTGCTGCGGTCGTGTTGTGCGCACTCTTAATCTGGACCAAATCTGATCTTTACCCCTGAACCCAAGCACACTGTCAGGATCATCTAGCTGTCCAAGACACTGCAGTAATCGTTTAAATTGTGCCATAATATGTTCAATCCACTGTGAAGCACCATCCAGTTGCTATAAACTCATTGCCACTGAGAACCATTATCCCTCTGCAAGTCCCCCTAGGAATGTTCGTCTATTTTGGGGCCAAAGTCGCACCTGCAGTAAGACCATCTCTTCTATCTTCAGCAAGTGTTAGTGTGTAGCTCTGACACATCCTGTACAAAAGAATGATGCTGAAAATGAATGGCTGTAGGTTTGTGTGCAGTTTGTTTTGTTGTTAGAGTGAGCAAACCCACTTTCTAACTTTATACCCTTTTGAACCAGTAGTCACACTCACTTCATGTCACACGGTAAAGCAGGGGAGCTCTAGCATCTCCCAAGATGAAACACTGCTTTGAAAATATGTTAAGACAGTACAGGCATGTCACAGACAATCTGGCTTTCTGATGCCTTATCAAAAATATGAAAAGCGTCAAAGTCTCTGATACTTGACCTTGTTGAAAACACAGATGCAGGATAAGCACATCTCTTTCTGTTCTCATTTCTCATTTCTCATTTTCTAATTTTCTCAGTTCTCATTTCTTTCTCTTCTCGTTTTCTCCATCACTCTTAACTTAGCAGCTACTCCTGAATAAACTCCTAATCGTTTATCTTTTTTAAGCCGTCTAGTGTTTGTTCTGGGAATTCTGCCTTATAAATTGCCAGCCAGTCACTTGACCATGTAGCAATGCAAATACAATGTTGTTCACTGTGTCATTCATGGTCTGATGTCAGTCACAAGCCCCTCTGCAGTTCAGATGATTACACGTGTGCCTTCCCTGGAATTTGGTGCAACACTTACACACAGGGGCACACGCACACATACACGCACACAGAGTTTACTGCAATTTCAGGTTCTACAGTTACAGTACATGCATGGACAAGACAGGGGACTGTGATCGTGCATGCTTACACTATCACTTCCCTGTGCACAGATTCAAAGGAAATATAACAAAAACTTTTAACTCATTAGAATAATTGAATTTGAAGAACTATTTGCCGAAAGTAAAGAGCAGATACTCTTTTACCAACAGGAAATGAGTATAGATGTGCGCAATGTACTTCTCAATTCTGCTACAATGATTCTTACTGGAACACTACTACAGTCCTTTCCAATCTGATAACACACCCTCTCCTCAAAAAGCCCCTCTAGACTTTGCACCAGTCACCTTCTCTGTTGTCCAATTCATTTTCCACAGAGTGCTACACTACTGTGACAGCAGATAAACTGTCCTCCCCTGTAAAGACAGCAATGTTTGTACATTAGTACTGGCTGGACGGCACTGAGACATACAGGGGTGACTTTCTGCAGTATTCACCAAAAGGTCACACACTCAGGATGATCCTAAAGTAGACACTGTTCTATTTTCTGATAGTATATGGGCTCTTTCACAGCACAGCATGGTTTCAGAAAGAGTATTGTTGACAGAATTGACAGAAATAATATGTGTATAATATGCTGTGGGTTTTGCTTTCCACCCTACATATTTTAAATGTTTCCTCATGATTTCATTCAGGTTTCTAACTATCTAGAGCTCCCACTAAATGGAACATTAAGAGTGTGTCTATATGAGGAACATGATATTCGATGTAAAGAAATACAGTAGATCTTCCCTAGTGATTGCACTGATAGGATAGACTATAAGATTTGAGGGTGGGGCAGTAATGTGATGAAGCTGTTAGCTCATGTCATCGAGCCATACATCATAAGGTAGTGAGGGGGCAAAGTAGTAACTGGACACTTCTAATTTAATTGATTGACCACACTGAATAAATCATTTGACAGAATTAATGCCAGCCCTGGTCCTTTAGAATTCCCCTTTTCTTCCAAATGCCTGTAATCCATAATGCTTTAAAGAGTAAATCTGTCTTGTCATGACACCACCTATTCCTCTTGTTTCAATCAATGATGTGGAGCTTACTTAAGGCTGGGGTCAATGCATTCTCAGTAAGAGGGAAAATAAGGGAGGGAGACAGACGCTGATGGCCAGGAAGAGATGGAGAACTGAGGGAGAAAAAGAGAGATGCAGAGGAGGATGGATGTGAGACGGAAAGAGAGATAGAGGAAAGGGGAGATATGGCTTTGACAATATTTCTCCCCGTGTCCCTGTCTCTTGGCTCTCAAGCATAAATAACCGCTCATCCGCTCCAGTCTGGCATATTAAACACCTTGGTAAAATATGAAAGCTTTAATTTATACCTCCAAATTATGAGTGACCTGAATGTTGTGGATGATCCCTGACATTTTCAGAAGGATATTTCCTGCTTTGACACCAGGGCTTGATGAACCTAATGTATTGGCTGGGCCTGACTCAAGGTCGCAGGTTGAGTACATCACCACGATTCAGACATGCAGAGACATGATGTTGACTTGCAGCACTTTAAAATCCTCTTCAATGCTACTGCACAAAATATTATTTTAAAAAAGTCCTTGGCATACAAAGTACTGAATATACTTCTGAAACTCAAAATTAAACTTAATTTTTGGAGACACAAAACTTGTATAACCAAACTTAGAAACATATGCAGGATATGCAAATAAAGTCTCAGCAAAGTCTGCAAGTCATATTTCTTGTGCTCTTAATCTTATTCAATTCCAAGATTTTGGGTTTAAAATATATGCTTATTACTTTTATACCTCTGTTCTGTGCGTTTGAGTTAGGTACTTTACTGAACATGTGAGTTAAAAAAAAAAGCAAGACATTTCCAACCAACTGAACGCCCCCATCAAATCTCACAGTCCCTGTTTGATTATGCTCAGCCAGCAGTGAAAGGAGAGTCCCTAGATATTGCTTTCACATTGATACGCCTCATATAACAACTTGGATAGTCCCCTGATCTTAAGTAATTTGCCCTGGAGAAAAAGCCACATGGAAGAAAGCTATTGAGTTATGGGTGAGCCGTTTGTTATCATTGTGTTGAAGCTGTGTTTACTAGACCATGGGGTCAGTATCAGATGAGCAGAAATGAAAAGGGATGGCTCGCAAGTAATCAAGTGAACTGATTGATGCTCTTAAAATGAGTGTGATGATGATAGTTTAACTCCGCCGAGTGTAATCAGTTTTGGAAACAGCTTTTTTTGTTGGTGTTTACCAAAAATGCATGATTGATTTTTATGAGGCTCATCTGTCTCCTCCCTGAGCTGCCCCCTCCCAGTCCCACCCCATCATTACAGTCTTGATGACTTATCTTTTTGTCTTTCAGAGAATGACACTCTTCATCTCTCTGTTTCTCTCTCTCACCGGCTCTTAAAGAGAGAGGCGCCAGACGCTTGTTGAAAGCAGCTGGCAGCCAATAAGTGTTAGATGCTCAATGTCACATAAGCCCATACAAAAAAACAAGCTGCGTGAGACATCTGCAGGAAGGCCAGTCACATTTTGGTATGGCACTGGCTTTCCCATGCTGTATTTGTGTTGTTGTTTATCACTGGTTGCTACAGGCTGACTGTGAGTCGCTGAGCGCTGTGAAGTGTCATCTCTAACCAGTGTTTTGCTAATGATACAGTGGGATTGCTGCCCACCAGGCCTGCGAGAGTCTGTTGTTGACTAAAGACTGACTTGTGGCTGGAAATATGGGTTGATCAGTATGGTAGCCCACAGCGAAAAGTATGGGAATGTCTTGAACTCAGCAGCTTGACTGGGAATTTGGGTATAAGTCTTGAAATGTGTAATATTTGTAGCGTTGTAGCTAACTGGCTAGAAAATCTCCCTGGGCAACTCTTTTACTGAGGGTAATGATAAGGTAATGGCTGCTAGTGTGTTTGCTGCCCCCTACAAGAATTTCTGGTCAGAAGTTAAATGGAGATAGGAGTCCACGGCCAGCATAAAACATAACGTCATTATAATACATTATGCACAAAGAAAATAGAGACCCTAGCCTTTAGTTCCACTATACCCTTTAAATTGTTAAGAATAATCTTCCCCTCACACGCAAAGAAAAATAAGGAGAAAAATCCCCCCAAAAGCCCTTGTACAACCACACCTAATACAAACAGACTTGTGCAGTTCCTCCTATATTTTACATTTTCATTCATGCCAGCTGCATGGATGATTGAACTCATATCCAGCAAAGCAATAACAATATTTACAAATTGCACAACTATTTCTGACTGAAAAAAATACATTATTTAAACACGTAATGCCAGCAATGTTACACAGTCCATGTCAGAAAAGGGCTCTACACAGGTAACCATAAATAGCAAATACTGTGTGCGTGTGGAGATAAGCTTGCAGTGTTGTCATCGTGACTGTTCTGGACAGTAGCTTCTTATCTCCATCCCATTAATATGCCTGCGGATGTGGTGTCCTTATTCTCCATATAGTGGATAACTAATTGATCGCACTGAATTACATACTGCAATGTGAATGGAACTCATTAACGGACTTCGAGATAAGAGGGCCGAGACTTATTTGAAGGTTAGTGTCAGCACAAAGCCTCATGCATCTGTTGGTCTTGCTCTGCAGACAGATTAAAGCAAAAGCAACAGTTGTATCTCTATCACAGAGTAAAGGCTCATAAGTCAGCTGCAGTTTAAAGTGTTTGAATCCCTGCATCTCGGCTCCTGCCTGTGCCTGTTTATATGTATGTGTGTGTGAGTTTGTGAGAGTGCATGTCTCTTTGTGTATGTGTTGTTTGCCTAACAACTGAATATGCTGGAGTTGTTAAAATGCTGAAGTCAGTAAGAAGCCTCTTGAAGCATTAAGCCATAATGGGTTGCAGGGAGCATGAAACAGACCACAGTGTTTTTGATGTGCACCATATAGAGAGAGAGAGAGAGGGAGAGAGAGAGCAATTGGCCTGCTGTCTATGACTTGGGCTGCCCTGGTCTACTTGGT